ATTAGTTATGAGAAAATTATGGAAAAACTGCTATTAAAATAAATCTTCAATGCTTAAGGTGATATTACCAATATTATTCAATAAATCAAGTATTCAGAAGTGTGTATCAGAGAGCAAATATAGCAGAATTCTTTACGGTCTTTACTATGAGAATGGTGAGGTGCTGGAACAGGCTGCCCACAGAGGTTGTGGATGCCCCATCCCTGGAGGTGTTCAAGGCCAGGTTAGATGGGGCGCTGGGCAGCCTGGTCTAGCATTAAATGAGGAGGTTGGTGGCCCTGCATGTGGCAGGAGGGTTGGAGATTCATGATCCTTGAGGTCCCTTCCCACCCTGGCCATTCTGTGATTCTGTGAAGATCTCTAGGTGGGACAGGTAAAAGATAAATACCTGTAACAGCCTCCCACTTTACTCCTTGTTTTGCAGCTTTGTCAAAAGAACTGACCTTTAAGTAATGTACAGCATATACACAGGCAAAATATCAAATTTAACAGATGATTTCCCGTTTTTAACACATGGCATTTAAACATTCATTGATTGAACAATTTATAAAAGTTTTATAGAATACTAAAATATTTAGAGACATTAAAAATGTTAATCTTATAATTAACAGTCAGACACATACTTTCTTTGCACGTGCAAGACAGTAATATTCTAAACCTATCACTGTGAACTTTACCATAATAAACAACCATCTGTCTTCATGCTAGAAAAGAAACATTGTGTTTTTTCCACTTGGAAATCTGTCTGTATGGAAATCACAATGAAACAGATAAAAGAACTTAGCTAATAAAGAATTGTTTAATGGAGGAAAGAGTGAACACATTTCATATTAAAATCAAAGCTTATTTACTCAGAAAGGAAAAGTACACTATTTTGTCACGACATTTTCAGTTAACCTTTTCTGTACTTCCTATTTGTGCAGTCCTTCCTTTCTGCTGTATGACCAAGTAACACTGTTTAAAGATTAATTTAAATTGGCAGCAAATATTCTACACTAAATTGAAAGTTAGAATTTTTAAGGTAAAGCTTGTAGCACCTTCTCATTTGCAGAAAACTTTGGAAAGTTGAATTAGAAAAAGAAGGGAACAAATTTAAAGCAGTATTAAAAGAATCAAGGCCTCAGAATTATCATAGAATCATATCACAGAAACATATAGTGGCCAGGGTTGGAAAGGATCTCAAGGATCATGAGGCTCCAACCCCCCTGCCAAAGCAGGGCCACCAACCTCCACATTCAATACCAGACCAGGCTGCCCAGGGCACCATCCAGCCTGGCCTTGAGCACCTCCAGGGACGGGGCATCCACAACCTCTGTGGGCAGCATGTTCCAGCACCTCACCATTCTCACAGTAAAGAACTTCCCCCTGATATCCAAATTAAATCTTCCCAACTTCAATTTAAAACCATTTCCCCTTGTCCTGCTATTATCTACCCTTTCAAAGAGTTGACTCCTTTCCTGTTTATAGGCTGTTTATAGGTTTTATAGGTTTATACTTTATTAATATCTTCAATTGCACTTCAGGTAATACACTGAATCATATAAATTATTCTCTCTTTTTTTTTTTTTTTTTTTTTACAAAATTAGAGATAGATTTCTACTTTTAAAAATCATCATTTAAGTGTATCACAGATTTCAGAGGTATCACATCCTTTAGAGTAAAAACCCTACAAAAACCTGGTTTCTAGTATATCCATGATACGTCTGACCTCAACATATTTATCATGAGGGCAGAACAATCTGCTATGGTTTATTGGTTAAGGAGCAACCTAATCAGAGAAGGAACTATTTCATTTAATATAACTCTATCAATCTGAACCACATAACTGAGATAATGGCATTCAGTTGCTTTCACTATAGAAGATGGTCTTGTATGCTATCAGAAATGGAAGTTTTCTTCCAAGAAATGAAATGGTGCATCTAAAACCAGATATAAAATAAACAAATGCACATATTCTAATGAAGACAAAAGAACTATAAAAGGTCTTGTGAACAAGACTCTGCAGTGGGTCTTGTTGACTGTTACTATGTCAGCTGAGAAAATATTTTCCTCCTGAATTTAGTCAGTGGTAGATATAAGATAGAGTTCTATGTGGAATAGTGTACGAAATATACGTGTATTGATCATAGTATGATTAAAATAGGTATATTTATTCTTAGAGTAAAAATACAATTTCCTTGACTGGATTGTATATAAGACTGTTTATTTTCTCCCTGTAGTCTCAGCATATCCTTACTCTGTGATTACCGTTTCTCCCTGATCGACAATAAATAATTACAAAATGATCACTGGATACATTCATGTCCTGTAATTATGAGTTCTTCCCATACTTTCTGAAGAACTGGTCCCTGAATGTCAAAACATTACAATGACAGTTCAGCTGGGCAGTTTCTCATCTCATTACGCTAAATTATCAGGCTTGTAGAAATCTTAGGACTAAATAAAATCACTTTACTCTACAGTTACTTTTCAGCTGCTAAATATAAAATACATCAAATTGGATCCTGATCTGTATAAGCATACAGCGTGGAAGCACATGGGTTGCAGCTGCCCAGGGAGCTGCCACTAAGCCTATCACACACCACAGCCCTGGTGACCCAGCAGTGCTAAGCATGAAGCAGAGAGCTATTGAAGGTGAGGTTGTGCATTGTAAAAGCAGAGATCTGTGAAAAGAGGAACTCCTTAATTCATCTCCTCCATACAATGGGGAAAAAAGAAATGTTCTTTAAGTGCTGGAACTATTACAACACATCCTATGCAGAAAAATGGATCACTGTCAAAAATCTCTTCATCAAGCATGCCTACAAGGTTCTGCAAAGCAAATGGCTTCCCTTACAAGTTTAGAAAAAAGAGAAATCTCATGGAAATGAGATACTCAGCCATTAAAAGGATGATTCTCTAATGGAGCTAACAGTTTCATTTTTTTTTTTTAATTCCTATTCAGGTTTTACCGAACGGAACAGTTACCATTGTGTCTAAAAGTAGGATGTTTCAGTCCTAATCATCATAGCTCTAGTTACAACACTTACTGTAGTATTCCCCCGCTTTAAATTCCCACGCTCATGAAATGGCTATAATTCAGTTATATTTCCACACTTGATTTTTGAAATAAAGTTACAGAGAAGGGAACCAGAGAAGATAACTACTTCCTTTACATGGACAAGATAAATAGGTAAATTCTCCAAAAACGTAGTTGAAAGACAGTTCACCCCATTGTAGGAACTCAGCAGGCCTGTCCTGGTTAAGTTTCAAAGGTGGAAATGGCTTAGGATGACATATTTTTGTATGAGCAACATAAAAAAAGTTGTTTCAGTTAGTGGTCCAGAAGAGAGTTTGACAAAAGTCTGGCTCCATGAGGTAAGTGCTCTTTGAATAACGGCATTATTCAGATGTAGATTACATTCTTTTCCACTGAAAACACCAAAGATCAGAAGATTCCTTGGGACTGACAGATCATTTGTAAAGTAGAACTAGATTGGAATATGCACCAGTCAGACATGAGTGGAATCCAGAAAAGTGCCAACCCAGTGCTGTGCTTGTATACATATTCTGGTATGGGCTGGTACCACAGGATGTCTACCAAACTCCTGTTTAAATTTAACCTTGCCTACTCTTAGCATAAATCTCTGGAAAATCAAAATTCTCCCATCAAGAATACAACAACTTCTAGCTGATACAGAGGATGTCTACTGTGTTCTTTGGAACAGAGGAGTAATTTTAGTATAATAAATGTATGTACATAGACAAAACGCTTTATGGATGTATTGAAAATGCTTCAGTGAAACACACACCAACTGGAAAATAAATCTGTTATCCTTGAAGGAAACCTACTTTTCCTGTTCCACTGTTCTTTGGTGCTGTTTGTACAGCCACTGAGAGCAAATGCAAACTATGCAGAAGATATGAACAGATTTCAATTTTTACACTGGTAAAACTGAATGTATATGATTTACTGCATTATAGACTTGGAAAAGGCTGAAAAATGTAATATTCTCTGATATCTACAGCAACACACTGCAATTATTTTTTTGAGCTGACTGCCATTGATTGTTTTCTCATACAGTGAGAGTAATGACCTACCTTCACACTGTAACACAAGGTGATATTAGCTCAGATACACTAGCAGTCTGGAAAGGGCATTTTTAAACTCATTTTATACCCTGGGAAGTTCATTAGGAGAATGTTACAGTCGCATAATCACAGTCAACGGTGTTTTTATTTTGCTTTTTCTGTACAACAGTGACAACGTGCAATACTCAGAATTATCTACCAACATTAATAACTGACTGCAACTTAAATGCTAAAACAGCTTCTGTAGCCATTACAAAATCTATCAAAATACCCCACACCTTTCTGAATAGTGGTAATGCAAAATAATTAGGATTTTAAAACAGAAAACCTAGTAGTTAGGGCTTTTTTCTTTTTTTTTTTTTTTCCCCAAGGAAACAAAAATTGTTCAAAGAATTAATTATACTGAAATTCTAATTATGTTCATTTGAGTAATCTGTGCATTATAAGCAGTAGAAATACAATACAAGTGTAAATGATGTATAGAGTGTTTTTCATTGAAGTATCATCTATAGAGGCAAAAAAAACCCCACCAAAACAAACAAACAAACAAACTAAAACTGTAGAAACAAAAATGTATCTTTTGAAGAAATATTTTCCCTATATTAACAAATTAACTTTCTTCTCTTTGAGAAATATTAGGTTGTATGCCATGCATTAAAGCTGCCCGTAAGGTTTTGCACAAATAACACCTTTATTTCCATTATCTGAATTCTTACTCCTATTAACGTGCCCAGATCTGCTATCGCTTGCCTTACACTGCAAGATAGAATTATCCTGAATACCTGAACAGATCTTCTTCAGAGTTATCAACAACAATTGAGATGGAAAGCAGAGCAACATGATTCCTATTACTCCTTCCCTTTTCTTGTTTCATAGGAACGTAAGACGTGCGTTTCACAAATAATGCAGAAAGAATGAGCCACAGCTACCTTTTTCGCAGAACCGTCCAGTGAAGTGTAATTGGCAGTCACACTCAAATGAGGCGGCCCCAGTAGGCAGGGAGATTGGATGACAAGTGCCTCCATTGTGGCACAATCCCCCCTGGCATGCAGATGGCAACTCAGGGGAACTCAGAGAGGGAGTGACTGGCTCAGGCAGGGTGAGCACATCAGAAGAAATGGTAGGGAATGGTGTTGGCAGATGTGTAGGTACTGGAGTTCTGAAAGAGTAAGGACAAAATATCAAAACAAAACATAGCAGTCCTGATTTTATCACTACATTTTAGCTTGATTTTAAAATAGCTTTTTTCATTTCTGTAGAAATTCAGACTATACGTAAGAAAATGCGAGTACATTAGTAATTCTGAAATCAAGTCCTCATCTTGAAATGTAGCAAAAAAGATAATTTTTCCATGTGAATGATCAAGAAATAATCTCCATACATGTAGCGCAGTTTGTACAAGCTGTTATAATTCTTTTTTGGTGCATGTTAGCAATGGAGTAGTAATTTACAGCTTGAAGTTACCATTCTAGAAAACATGACTTCCATGCAAGTTGATTAAGCATATATATATATATATATATATAAAGAAGAAAAGGGCTTTGATGCAACAATACAGCATTTTTTGTGTTTAGTTATAAATGGCTACATAAGAGAGAGGACAAGAGAGGGAGAAAAAAAAAGAAAAAGAATGATATTTTTCATTGTTCCCCAGCAATTTTCTCGTGTAGGATGACATTATCTTTCTCCTCTCAGCTTTTGAGCTTTCACATTAACTACCAGACTGTTAATCAGTTTCTTCTTATTTAATTACTTTCTATCTCCAGTTTGCTAGAAATGAGTTAGCAATGCCACTTGTTTGTCCTTTGTTTATTATTGCTTTTTGTTTCTGTCCTGAGAGCCAAACCTGTATCTTACAATAACCATTTAAATTTAAGGTTTAACTAACCAGAATAGTTTAAATATGACATAGAAAATTATTACTATGAGGGCAAACCAAAAAGAATCAAAAGTCACAAGAATATTCATGGCTATTTAAGATATGCTACTTAATATGCCTGCACAGTTAAAAAATAAATCACAAGATTTTACATAAGAGATTGGCAATTATTGTTTTACTTTATGAAGTTCAGGAGGGTTCACTATTTCCAGAAAGGAACTTACAATTTTCAAGTTTTGCAAAAGTAAGCTAATAAGATAATGTACTCTACTTACTTCATTGGTAATTTTAGCCTCCTGAACATTTCTCTTGTGTCTTAATGTTGCACAAATACTTGTATTAGAGAAAGGCAGGCTTAGCTGAGCTGAAATGGTAGTCACATTTTGACAAAAAATAAAAATTAAAATTAAAAATTAGTCAATGAAATTCAATGAAATTTCTGGGAGCATATGATACATCAACAGCAAAAATCATTGCTTTTTTGTTTTGGTATGGTTTTGTGTGTGTGTAAATGGTGGCATAACTGTTTGACAAAAATAAATATTAAAAATAAAAAAATATATAGTTTGGCCCTTGCTGCACACCTTACTCTCTCCTTTTCACCCATTCTTGCACAAGATATAAATTCTGCTTCATCATATTGTACAAGCTGGGATATGTCTTGAAGTGTTTGAAAGGGATGATGCCTCCTAAACATAATTAAGACTCTGGCTTATTATGCTATTCCCTCTCACTTGTGTTAAAATATGGCTTACAGAGAAACAAGAGTGCCAGGTACAAATCTCTTTATCAAGACTGACTGCTTCAATAACTTCTGCCTTTTTGTAAACATTCTGTATAATACCACACAAAAATGACATGAGATCACATAAATGATAAATAAAATTATATATAAATCATAAAGAATATACACTGGTGAAATGAAAAATGACTTCATGACAAAAGTCATCTCAAATGAGTTTGGTTGTTCTTTATTGAAAAACAAACAAAAGACTGAATCCTTTCTAAGATAATTTTCCCATTGAACTTACCACATATTCTTGATGACTGCTTCTGTCTTATGTTTTTACTAGCCTTGTTTCTGAAGGATATAAAACTCATCTAAGTTTATTCAGTTCCATTTACCTGATAGAAAGATTCATCAGAACCAGAACTGCTTTTTTATTAAAACGTTTTCATTGCTCCAACCCACACAAGCTGTGTGAAAGATTCTAGAAGTTTATAAAGTTAGTGGAATTTACAGATGGTGGAGTTAGTACCTCATAGCACTCAGAAGCATACTGGGACTTCAATAATACAAATAAAATCAGAGAAATATGTATGTTGGAAACTTGGTGATAATTCCTCACTGAAAATAATTGAAAATGTGTTCAGAAATAGCTTGAATGAAGAGTGACATAATCAAAAACATGATATCGAAAACACACATGCTGTGGTTGTTAGAAATGAAGTTACCAAGGTTTCAAGGAAGTCAAAGTTTTCCACTTTATAGGAGAGAAAAGCATCCAAAAAGATAGCAGATAACAAGATCGAAAGTAAATTCTTAAAAGATTTTGGAGGCTGAAGACAGTGATAAGAGGTTTAGAAATCTATGAAAAAATAATGGGCTTCCTGTTTATTATTATTTAGATTGATAGAATTACAATATTTCGACTTATACAAGTAGAATTATAACAAATAACTATCTGGGTTGATACCTACTCTCTTCTCTTAAGGGAAAATCTAACATGAATTAAACGTGGGCTAGTCTATGGAAAACACACCAATGTGGCTGTTACGTTTTACAAGTCTAGCACAAGAAAACAGAAAAGCTATTTACCTGCCAAGATGACAACAATGAATTAAAAAATCACTTTCTCCCAAAGCATTATTTTATGTTTGAAAAACTCTGATCTAACAGTGGATCACATAAAGAATCAGACATCTATAGGAAAAAAAAAATTGGAAACTGTTACTAGGACTTGTGGTTGACTTTTCTATTTTGTTTGGAAAAAAAAAAACAAAACACAATAAAAACTAAATAAAATTTGGGTAAGATCACATACCGACACTAAATGCTTCCTGTTAGTTATGAGAAAGACTACCTCTCTAATGCCATACAAACCTATAGGTGATCACTGCAAAATTTACTTCTCCAGATCAGGTCACAGCTAGTGTCAGGGGTAATGCACTGAATGAGAGGCATATTAGCAAGCCACGCTTTCTTGCATTGAAAACAATGATTTCCAACTATGGAAGCTACAATTTCTCTCTAGAGTAGAGCCAAAGGAGCATTTCAAACAAAATGTTATAAGTACAAATAATGCAGCCAAGCTTCATTTTTTGGTTGTCCATCTAATCCACAGAGAAGAAATTAAGAAAAGCTTCTTGGCAGATTGATTTCTCCCTGGTTCATACACCAGTTTTTCTCAGAGCATCGGTCCTTACAGTGCTGTTCTGGATGTTTTACTTTAGATGGTGTCTGACTGCCTCTTTGCCAGCCCTGCTGCCAGGCACCCTGCAGCTTGTTTGTTTACTGCAAAAGCAGAGCAGAGTTTGCCCGTGCTCATCAATGGGACAAACATCTGCAGCTGCACTCACAACCTATTCCAACTGCTATGAATAAGCAATGACCTTGACTCAACTGTTTACCTAAAATATTTAGTTGAATAAAGAATCAGGAATTGTTTAAAGTAATTTAGTAATTGAGATGTTAGAGGTTTTGACAATGTGTAACAAAAATAAATCAGGCAAAACTTGATTCACAAGGCTACAATTTTCTGTTTTTCCTTTTTGATTTCCCAGCATGGTGCTGCCTCTCGGGTCAGTGCTACACATGAAGAGCGTGTAACTCCCTGCAAGCATCAACACATTGCTTATAAACTTCAGACAAGCTCAAACAGCTGAGCCTTAGTCTGTAACCTTGTGTTTCATAGCTGAGTACATGTAAGTTTGAAATGTTTGTCTGAATACCTAAATATAGATGTTAGTGCATTTCAAAGTTGTTTGTTTTTTTTCTTCCCCACATTCCTCACCAACAAGGGAGATCTATGATGGCAATAATGGCAGGAATATAGCACTTCGGGATCATGCTTATTTTTCTGCTGTTAAATCACAAGCACAAATAGTCTGACCAGCTGTTCTTCCTACATCCCTATGCTCTCATTTCCCTTTCAGAAAGTGGCTGAAACTAAGAGATAGGGATTCTGTGAAAAAGGTAACCAAAATTAACTTAAGTTCTTAGCTTTTCTTCCCACCAAGTGGAGATGTTCAGATGTACAGTGACCATTTCAGGAGAATATTATTCATACATGCAGACTGAAAAAGTAGGTGAATGTGCAAAACAGATGAAGAATAGCACAAGAAATATTGTAATTTCTTGAAATTAATATCCCTGTATTCCTGAATAAGCAATCAAAGCAAAGAAATGAAGTTCTAATGTATTTTGTTATATGGATACATGTTATATGAACACTATGGCAGAAGGCTATTTAAGAAAAAATTGTAATTTCTTGTAAATCATGAAATCTGATAATTGTGCTTATGTCTCTGAAGAAACAGTCTAAAAATTACAAAATCATGAGCACTTGTAATTTTTAAAGGCCTGAATAAATCCAACGATCTTTATGCTGAGATAATACAGTATGCAAATTCCTCATTTTTGTCAGTCTCTTGACTCTAGGATCTCAATCTTTTGCACAGTTTTAATTTGAAAAATATCCATCATATTTTTATTAAGCTTTCTGTTACTTATTTCCATTTGCTCCTTGTTACATCACCAATCATGACACTCTTCCAAGAAACGCTCTCCTATTCTTCTGCGGAAGCTGGCAGCCTGTGGCCTGGAAAGATTCAGACTTTGCTGGGTAAAGAACAGGCTGGATGGCCAGGCCAAAGACTGGTGGCAAATGGAGTTAAATCCAGCTGGCAACTGGTAACAAGTGGTGTTCCTCAGGGGTCCTTATTGGCACCTATCCTGTTCAATATCTTTATTGATGACCTGGAAGAGGAGATTGCGTGCACTCTCAGTGAGTTTGCAGATGACACCAAGTTAGGAGGAAGTGTCGATCTGCCTCGGGGTAAAAAGGTGTGAGGGATCTGGACAGGCTGAATGGCTGGGCTGAGACCAAAGGGATGAAGTTCAACAAGACCAAGTGCTGGATCCTGCACTTTGGACACAACCACCCCTTGCATCACCAGAGATTTGGGACAGAGTGGCTAGAAGACCATGTGGAAGAAATGGACCTGGGAGTGTTGGTTGACACTTGGCTAAACATGACTCAGCAGTGTGCCCAGATGGC